GCTGGGGCCGGGCCTGACTTTCCTTCCTCCGCAGGAAGATCTGGCGGCATGAGGGCCCGTCGGCCTTCCTGAAGGGTGCCTACTGCCGCGCCCTGGTCATTGCCCCGCTGTTCGGCATCGCCCAGGTGGTCTACTTCCTGGGCATTGCGGAGACCCTCCTGGGGCTGCTGCAAACCCCCCAGGCTTGAGTCTGGGGGCCCCAGCGCCCCGGCTGGCGCCAGAGAAGGGCTGCCAGCCCAGGCCCGAGTGAAGGACGCTCACCCACGGGGGGAGGGGAGAGGGGAGGCTGGGTCCACATGGTGGCGAGCACAGGCCCCACGGGGTCCTGAGGAGATGGCCATTGGGACCAATGTCTATTTATGTAGAAAACGCAGAAACCTGTACATTCCTCAAGCTGGTCCCTGACCCAGTCCTGCCTGGCCTGAAGACCCCCAGGGACAGAGCTGGTCTCTGGGCTGGGGCCCCAGGCCTGAGCTGGGCAGGCTGGCCCTACCCCTGAGTCCACCAGCTCCTGTCTCCTAGGCTTTCCTGGTCTACAAAGGGGACCCCCCCAAAAAAAACCCTATTTATTGAACCTGCTGCATCTGTGTGGCTCTGCCCGTCCTGTCCATCCGTCCATCCACCCCTGCTGCTCTTCTAACTTTGGCCGGGACTCGGCCCTGCCTCCCAGCTTTGCAGACGTGGGGGGCGGGGTCTCCGGCCCCATGTTGAGCCCAGATTTCCAGGTTGATGGGGGTCAGGCTGAGTTTTGACTCCCAGATCCCCCCACCCCCCGTGCACACACTGGGAATTTCTGCTGGGTCCTAGGACCTTCACTGAAGGGGAGACCTAGCCTGTGTGTCCTGTGTGCCTCCCAGCCCTCGGCTGACCAGGCTGCTTGGGATGGGGCAGGGGGGCCAGGCACTCAGCTTGGTGGGCTGTGTACCTCACCTCTACTGAGCTCAGCTCAGAGTTCTCAGCCTTCCTTCCGAGTCACCCACCCCTGGAAAGGGGAGGGCCAGTGTGGATCTTGGGGTCACCTGCTCTGTGGGTGCCCAGCCCTCCTTCCTAGGCCTCTGTTTAAGCCCCTGTCCTCCCCAGTCCTGTATCCATGTGAAGTGAGGCAGGTGCTCTGCCAGCCCTGGCCATGTGGTTGTGTTGGTGATTGACCCTGAAGTGCTGGTGCTGTGTCCCCAAACCTAGCCCTCCCTGTGGAGGCCCCTCCCCAGTAACACTACCTGGGGCTCAGGTCCAGCCCCCAGCTCACGGTTGCTCCTGGGAGCTGCCCCCTCCCGACATATCTGTACCTTGAAAGCTGCTGCTGCTGCTTACAGAATTATATTTTTTTTCTTTTGAAGAGTTTTAAGGAGTTGTAATTTTTTGTGTCTTGTCACGTAAGAGGATAAATAAATATTCTAAGTAGATGCCTGCTCTCTGTGTTTTGGGGGATGGGATGGGCAGGACAGCGTGGTGGGGAGCCCCTGCCCCTGGCTGCCTGTCAGCCGCAGTCTGGGTGGGGTGTTGGGGTGCCTCCTTTCCCACCCAAGGCGGTGTTAGGGAGAGTACCCCAGAATCCCGGCCAGCGGCCGCGCTGGGCGTGGCCCCGATGACGCAGCCCATGGTGCAGCTGCGCCTCTGCACCTCCCTGCTGGTCCTTGCATCCTGCGTTCAGAGAGAGGTGCATTGTGGGAAACTCCTGGCGCTCCTCTGGTCCGCAGCTTCTGCCTGCTGGTCGTCTGGCTGCTGGTCGTCTGGCTGCTGGTCGTCTGGCGGAGAGAGTGCACACACGGAGGCAGGGGCCCTACGGAAGGAAGGCGTAAGGCGGGGGCCCTACCGAAGGGGGACTGGGCCCTGGGGCTGGAGGTCTGGTGCCTCCATCTTGAAGGTCACTGGGGTTGCGCGCTGGCCCTTTATACTTGGCTGGCTCTGTGGGTCTGGGAGGGGCAGGGGGATGTGAGAGCCAGAAACAACAAAGGAGGCGCGGACTGCTCCTGGGGAACGGAGGCCTCTCTAGGGGCTGAGCTCCCTCCAGAGGTGGAGGGTCGGCCCGGGAGGTGGGAAGATGGAGCAGGTGCCCAGGACTCCTAGGGAGCGCCTCTTCATGCTGTGACCTTCAGGTGACCTTCCCTGTGGTCACGGCGCCTGGCAGGGGGTGGGGAACCTGAGCTTCTCCGGCTGGTGGGGGCATTTCTCACCCCCTCCCTCCGGGGAGAGGAGGCAGGTGGCTCTGCGTCCTCAGGGAAGGGGCCGCGCGCTCCCGGGCCAGCTAGCCAAGGGCATGGATGATCTACACCCCAGGGCCCCCACACAGTGCCCACCGGAGGCTGCCCCAAGGAGCCCCGGCCCTGCGTGCAGCAAGGGCACCCTGCCCTTGCATGGGACACAGGTGGGGCACCGGCTGGGAAGAGGACCCCAGAATCCGGGCGGGGCAGGCGGCTGGCTGGAGGCCCAGACTCCTGCTGTCTGCCCATCTGTGACACCTGTTTCATCTCCTGGGGTCCTTGTGGTCCAGAAGCCTGGGACCACTCCTCACCCTGTCAGCCCTGAGAGTCCCTGCCGGCTTCCTCCACTCAGGCCCTCAGGTCCTGGCCACAGTACAGCCCGCCCCCCCCTTCTGAGACACAGCACAGCCCCAGCCCCCCCCGCCCCCTTCTGAGACACAGCACAGCCCGAGCCCCCCCCACCCCCTTCCAGACAGCACAGCCCCCGTCCCCCGCGCCCCTTCCAGACAGCACAGCCCCGGCCCCCCGCACCCCTTCCAGACAGCACCACTCAGTTCTGCTGGTGCTGGGGGGCTCCACCACCCTTTCGTTCACCCCTTCTGGACCAGGAGTGTTTCCTTTCAGTTCTCAGAGCTGTGCACTTGCTTTCCTCTCTCCATGCCATCTGGGTGGTCGGGCCACTTCTCTGGAGCGGCCAGGGGCCCGTGCAGGCTGGCCCTGGAAGAGGCAGGCCGAGGCTCACAGAGGCCTCAGAGCTGAGGTCCTGGGAGCTCCAGAGAGCTGGGAAGGGCTCCGTGGAGCACAGGGAAAGGTGTCCCTTGTCACCGCCTTGCTTGTGTTGCTCTCTAGGCCCATATAATGTCCAGGGGGGAGCTGTCCTGATACTGTGGTCCAGTTATCTGCCTGTCCACACCCCCGCCAGCTGCCCACATCCTCGCCATGGAGTCCAGGGGAAAGTCGGCCAGCAGCCCCAAGCCAGACGCCAAGTCTCAGGCTCCCACGGAAGCCAAGGCCACGCCAGCTGTAGATGGGAAAGGCCCCTCAACCAAGCCCGGGAAGAAAGAGAGCCAGGCAGAAAAGCAGGAGCAGCCGGCAGCCCCCTCACCCACCCCTGCCAAGAAGACCCCAGTCAAGGCTGACCCTTCGCTTCTCAACAACCACAGCAACCTGAAACCGGCCCCCCTGGCCCCGAGTCCCGATGCAACCCCAGAGCCCAAGGGTCCTGGAGATGGGGCAGAGGAGGACGAGCCCTCCACGGGGCCCTCGGGGGGCCGCGGCCCCTGGCCCTGTGAGAACTTGACCCCGCTGATGGTGGCTGGGGGTGTGGCTGTGGCAGCCATGGCCCTCATTCTTGGTGTGGCCTACCTGGCTCGGAAAAAATAACGCCTGGTGCCCAGGAGAAGGCACAGAGCTGCATTGTACAGACATAGCTGGGGATGTAGTGCATGCGAGTCCATACAGACCTATCTATACACACACACACACATCCATCATAGATATATAGGTAAACACATATATATGCCCCCCCCACAGGATGGACAGCCCACCCACAGAGGGCAGCGAGCCCCTCTGCTGTCCCGGAACGCGCCCTCTCGCCGGGGGTAGCAGGACCCTCGGCTCTAGGGAGGGCAGGAGGAGCTGATACAAACGGAGGTCTCCACCCAGGTTGGGCGGCTGAGAACGCGAAGGGACAGACCCTGTGTGCAGTCCCACACCCTGTCTGTCTAGATGGGCGTTGGCGGGCGGGCCAGCCACGTGGGAAGAGAAGGCGTGGCCGTCCAGCTCTCCCCACCTCTGCCCTTCCCCGCCACAGGGAGCTGTCCGGGCTGCTGGGCGACTGACCTGATGCGGGCAGTCCCATCAGCAGAACTCCCTCTTCCTGCCCTCTGTGCCCTGGCCAGGTGGGAGAGTCAGAGCCGAAGAGCTGGTTTTGGGAAAGGACCCTCCCCTAAAGTTAGCCTTTCCTCCCATGTCGGGGAAACCCCTGTCGCTGGGACCGGCATCCTTCCTGCCTAGATCAGGGGCTGTGCTGTGACGGAGAGACTGCGAGGCGGGGGACATGGAGGACCTTACCCCACAGCTGTGCCTGCCCGACACCCAACAGACTCCCCCTCCTGCCTGCACCTCGCACCCTGAGTCTACAGCGTATAAATGCAATAACACAGGTAGAGTAGAACTGCTTGTGGGTGACCACCACCCACTGCCTGCAGGAAAACCGGCCCGGCAGCCCCTCCGTGTCAGGTTCCAGCTCGCCCCCTGGTGTGGTGGCAGCGGGCAGCTTCCAGAAGGTGGTGATGGGCACCATGGGAACACTGCCCTCACCTGGCCACTGGCCGCAGGAGCCTGGGCCTGAGTGGAGTCTGAAATAAACTCTGTTGTCTAAAGGCTGGGCTGGCATCCTCACCTGCATGCAACGGGGAAGGGACAGGAACTTCTACTGAACCATGGTTGGGAACAACAGATCCATAACCTGGGCTGCCCTGGGGAAGAGGCGGGAAGACACAAGTCCTCCTGGTGGGCCCCACCAACCCTCCCCTGATCCTGGTGGGCCCTGCCCATAGCCTCATCAGAACTCACATCCCAGATAATCCTCTGGCTTTCCTGGGGGACCTGACCTCAGATAAACACTGCAAGAGAAGCCCCAGGCCTGCGCTGCTGGCCACAGGGTCCTGCGGCAGGAGGCTTGCTCTTCAGGCTGCGCGTTCATGGCTCTCAGGGAGGTCTTCCTCTGGTCACCTCCTTGGCATCTAGTGGGCAGGACTGGGGTGAGGCCAACTGTGCAGCCCTGGAAGGACCTTTTGGGCTCTGCTACCCAGGGGGACCTCAGGCTGGTGGGTGGGAGTTTGCCCACCTCCTCCTCCCAGGCCTCCAAGCTGGCAGGAGGGAACACAACTTTCTCTTCCCAGCCTCTGGGTGCTTGGCCTCCTCAAGCAGTAGCCTGGCCACACCGCAAGCGCAAGCAACCGCAGAGCACCTCCACAGAGCAAAAGTTCCCCAACAAACTCCACACGCCTGCCCAAACCACCCCTCCACCTCTCCCTGATCACCCCCACACCAGCGGCTCCTCCACAAGCCGAGAGGCCACTTGGCTGAGCGTGGCTCTTCCCAGGAAGGAAAGCCGCCCGCATGCGTCCCCCAGGCCTGGCCACGGGTGCTGGGACATGTCACCCACCTGCTCCCTGATCCCAGGCAGGCCCCCTTTCAATCTGTCCCTCCCATGGCTTCACCTTAAAACAAAGACTTTCCCACACTCGACTTGAGATGGATGGAGGCAGTGCCCTCCTGACCGCGCGTCTGAGGCCCTCGCTGCGGGCGTCCCCCCCATTCTACTACCTTTATTTACTAGGCTCCGTGAAGGCACATTTAGACTTAGAACTGCAACAGTACAGATGAGTGCTGGTGACACATGCCCACAATCCTAGCTACTCAGGAGGATCAAGGTTCAAAGCCAACCCAGGTAGACAAATGCAAGTGATTCTTCCCTCCAACTAAATAGCCAAAAGCTGGGAGCGGAGATGCGGCTCAGGTGGCAGGGAGAGGGTCCATAGCACAGGCCACCGTGGACAGCCCTCATGATGGCCTTGAGTCCTTCCCAGGGGACAGCACTCATATCTGACTGGCTGCTGCTGACACAGACTTGTCCAGTTCTTGGCTCCCTGAGTTACCTGCCCACTCCTCCCCAGGGGCAGGTATGGCCTGCCACCGAGCCCAGGTGTCAGACCTAGGACTGCTACTCCATGCGGTGTGGGAGCAGGGCTCAGCCTATGAGCAGGAAGGTACCAGGTGCACAAACATGCCTTCGTTCAGGATCCCCACCCCAGGCAACCTGAAACAGATGAGGACCCTCCTGGACAGTTCAAATGCAGCTGTTACCCCAACATCCTCTGAACTCAACATCCCATAATAGAACTATTACAGGAAATAACACCCAAACTCGTCCTGGAGCATATCAAAACCCAAGTGACTTTAGCGGAGTGTCTCCAAGCAGTCCTGCTGAGGCTGCTCTGAGAGGTCTCTTCCGTGAGACACGTGTCGGTGTTCCAGCTCAAAGAATGGACCTGGAGACCAGAGGTGCAGCACAGGAGACTTTAATGTTGGTACTGCCAAGTCTCCCATGGTGTCCCGTACACAGCCACATCCAGAGGTTACAGTGGGCAGCTCTTTCTCTTCTGTACAGATCCCTCCCTGGGGTCCTTGCAGGCTGAGCACCAGGGGACGTACGACCCTCCTGGACCTCACCTACGTGTCATCACTTCCTACTGGGCATTTTTTTTGTCAGTCATGGGTCTTGAACTCTGGGCCTGGGCGCCATCCCTCAGCTCTTCAGCTCAAGGCTAGCATTCTACCACTTGAGCCACAACGCCACTTCCAGCTTTTTTCTTATGTGGTGCTGAGGAATCGAACCCAGGGCCTCAGGCATGCAAGGCAAGCGCTCTACCACTGAGCCAACTTCCCAGCCCCCCAGTGCT